GGACTCGTGTGCTGGGTCCAGGCCGTGTGGACGCTGCACCAAAATCCCAGAATTTTTAGCAGAACCTGTCTTTTACCAAAACATGGTTTGCCTAAAACGCTGTCAAACCTATTTTTAGAAGATCTTTCCAGTTGTCCTGGGAGGTGGCACCACCTTTTCCCCGGCTCCCAGGTGATTGCAGAGCTGAGCTGGGAGTGCCCACGTGGAAGAGCGCTTTGATTTGGGCACCTGGTTGTTTGTTTGTTTATATATGTCTTTTTTGAGCCAGTTATCCTGATGTGTCAGTGACAGGGCCGGATCAGACTTATTAAAACATGTAATTCAAATTTTGACAAATTCTTTGCTCCAAAAGAAACCTTATCTTTAAGCAAACATTCTCCAGTATTCTGAGTAATGATCTCATTTTTTAAAAAAGTTAGATAAGGAAATGATGCTTCTTCTAACTAGACACTATTATTTCACTAACTTTGAAAAGGAAGAATTCCTATGTTTCTAACCAGAATAGAAAAATGACCATTATTGGAATAATTGTGATAGCTTCAAGGTGGAATATGATCCAAAAGCCTCTTTAATCTGCCGTCTCTCAAGCATGTGCCCAACCCCCTTTCTAAGTCCTTGCCTCCTCCCTTCCCTTCCTCCTGCTGCTGCCCATGTTTACTTTTGCTCTCCGTGGCTTACATCACTAATCTTTGCTTCTTATGTAACATAGAACTCAGGGCAAAACCTAAAGTTCACCCTGATTCAAGCAGCCTGCCTGGCCGGGGTTTGGCATGTGTGGTGAAGCCAGGAGCACCACCTGCCTTGGCAGGAAGAGCTGTCCTGGGGACGACCACAGCGCGGAGTGCCGCCACGCCCTCTGGAGGAGCAGCATCTGCATTTTGCTTTCGGGAATTCTAGAAGCCTCCCTCCCTGTGTTAGGGGCATTGGATTAGCTGCTTCCTGCCGAGGGGTTTGGTGAAGGAAGATCTCCCCTGGTTTGGGTGTGAGTTCCGTAGATCTGAAGCCGGCAGTGTCCGCAGCAGCTCACTGCACCATAACAGGGAGCACAGAGAGCCTGGGGGAGGGAGCCGGCAGCAGTCCTCACGGCTGCTGCCCCTGCCTGTGCTCGGACACTCCCGGGTGGCGCGCGGGGGGTTAGTTTGCTCCTGTTGTGGCTGTGAGGGCCACTGCTGAGCCTGAGTCTGTCTGTCCCTGCAGCCTACGTCTTTCCACCACGCTGCTTCCCATCTCCTGGTGGGGTCTTTTTATTAATTTCAGAGAGGATGGGAGAGGGAGAGAGAAACATCAGTGATGAGAGAATCATTGATGGGCTGCCTCCTGCACACCCCCTACTGGGGATCGTGCCCAAAACCGGGCATGTGCCCTGCCTGGAATCGAACAAGGACCCTTCTTGGGATCTTAAACATCTGTTTCTGTACATCACCGTTTCTAACTTGGGTATATCTATGAAATCATTCAGTGTTTTCTGATCCTTTTGTTTTTTTCAAGTTGAAGAGCTGAGACCCACTGCTTCCTCAGTTGGGAGAGCGCGGCTTTCTGGCCAGTGTGTCAGGGTGCTTGTGCACGTGACTGCTTCCGTGGGAGCGCTGGTTCAGAGAGCGGGCACGCTCAGCGTGGTGTGCAGGAGCTGAGGAGGAGGAGGAGGAAGAGCGTGATGGCCATGCACCGCATGGTGGAGCTCTCCCAGGACGTGCTGCCCTCTTAAACAGCATTGCAGGGGGCTGCTCGCCTGAACGGAAGTCTTTCCGAAGAACAGATGAGTGTTGTCCTTTGCATGTGGGGCACTGGAGGGGTGCACTTGGTGCAGGGGCTCTCCTGAGGCTCACGTTGCTCACTGGTAGATACCTTGCCGCCTCCTCGATGGCGGGGCGCTCCTTAGATGGAGCGTGTGGGTGCAGACCAGCGAGGCATGCCGAGGGGTGACTCTGCCAGTTGTGAGTGCTTTACCACGACATGCACGAGGGGAAGGTTAGTTTGACAGACATTTTTAATGTCCCCAGTGTACAGCGGACATGGCCTGTGCAGGGAGAGCACGGTGGCTGAGGTGTGTGCTGGCCCTCCCGGAACTGCTAGTCAGGTGGCAGAGACGCTGAGCGGATGTCTGGGTGCGGCGTGCAGTGTGCGCACAGAGCTTCCTGCCTGTGCTAAAGCGAGTGGGACCCAGGGGTGGCTAGGCCTAGCCAGGGGAAGGACAGGCATGATCCACATTCAGGGAAGGTACGGTGACTAGAGGTGGGCACTGAGGTTTGGCCGGCCCGGCCTGTGCAGGGCGGGCCCTCAACTCGGCATTACCAGAGCACAGTGGGAAGTGCAGCTAGAAGGCCTCATTGTCCCGCAATGCTGATTGAAGGGCTCGACATGGTCACCAGGGTAGCATGTTAGAGGGATTATTGGAGTGGGCAGACCCTCGATGAGGGCAGGAGGCCAGGCAGGAGGCATCCTCTGGACAGAGCTCTGTGCTCTGGTAGCCCCAGCTCCCGGCCAGCCGCCGTGTCCCTTCAGCAAGGCCTGCTGGTAGCCTTCAGGTGTTTCCTAGGTGTGGTCACTCCTGTACCTCTCTTCATCCAGGGAACGGTAACAGTGGGGGTTTTTATCGATTGGAGAGCGCGAGAGCCATCGATGTGTTGTTCCACTTGTTGATGCATTCGCTGTTTGATTCTTGTATGTTCCTTGACTGGGGATCAAACCTGCACCCTTGGGCTATCAGAACGATGTTCTAAGCTGCCTGGCCAGGGTAGCCTGTATTTTTAAATCCTCCTTTTAGAGTTTTTAAAAATTGTGCCTTTCCTCAACAGAGGACTGAGCTGAGGTTTGTGTGTGGTACTGCTCTCTGAGATTGAGAATGTGCCATGCAAACCTGCATACCGCCTCCTTGAGTCGAAGGGGTAAAGTTCATGTGTACATACCAGGGCTGAACAGCACTCTGCTTTCAGGGCATCTGTGTAGGAAAGGCTGCACTTTGCAGGAGATTGAATTGCCAAGAAAAGCTCACCGTGGGTTTCTTTTAAATACTCTCATTTCCATGTGTCCGTGAACGAATGTGGCGAGCCGTACATGTGACTCAGTCAGGACTTGCTGACAGGGCAGCTCACCCACTTGCATTGGGTGCACGGAAGCCCGGTCTGCGTGGCAGCTCAGCTCCCTGCCTGCTGTGCAGGAGCAGAGGCCGGCGGCGCTGGCTCTGTAGGGCCGGGAGCCCCTGAGCTGGAAGAATTCCTGCCGAACACCGGAGAGTCCGACAGTCATTCTACTTCCTGTCCCTTCTGCCCAGTCCTGGCCAACTGCAAGAAGCTCCTCAGGTCACAGATTCCCACCACCGGCCCACCCGCTGCTGTGGCCTCCACCGCCATTTCCTGGCCTTCGCATCCTCACACTGCCCTCTGTATGGACCACCCACCTGCCCGGCACCCTGAGGGCACGGGGCCACTGTCTGCACCTCTGGTCTGAGCTCCGAGCTAGCCCCTGACACACAGCACAGCTGGAAGGCAGGGAGAAGGGTGATGAGAAAAAATTGCTGGGGCTGTGAAAATCTTAAGAAGCATATGAGCTTTTTAAGGGTAGAGCATGACTCTTAAAATTACCTCTCCACTGTGCTTTGCAGCAAAGCCTGGCTTTTTACATATGGAGGAAGCACAGGCAAATCTTGGGTGTTCTTCACACCTGTGTCCTCACATGCACACAGTTTTGCCCTTGAATTGTGCTAACCTGGGTTTCCATTTGGCTCTAAAGTAGGGGTGTCAAACTCAATCAGAGAAGGGGCCAAAATCTAAAATCCAGCCTAAATCGCGGGCCAAATGGTTTACTGAACAGTCATAAACTGTCATTGTGATGGAAACGCAGCGGAGTGCAGTGATGACAGCGCAGTGCGGGCCACATTGCAAGGCCTGGCGGGACGGATTTGGCCCGCGGGCCTTGTGTTTGACACATGTGCTCTAAAGGATTCAAGCATAATCCCAGTGTGTGCCTCTGCAGGTGTGTGCCGTGTGTCCAGGAGCATGCTGACCAGGTGATGGGGGTGAGCTTATTTAATGCCTGAAGGAGGCATGGTCCTCTCAGGGAAAGCCCAAGAAGTCCCCAACTAGAAGGAAATGTGACTGAGAATTCAGCTTCTTGAAACAGAACAAGTCCTTGGCAGACTGGAGAAGGGCGTGGTTCTGGCAGAGCGGGTGGCCCGAGGATAATGTGCTAGGTTTTCACTGTGTGTAAGGAAATGCGCACCTGTTTACGGTTTGCTGTCTTCACATATCACTTGTGTACGTACTCCTTTTTATCAGTAGTAGTTACTGACTGGCCAGGTATCTTCATCCCCCCTCACGTGATCTGTTTTTATGGACCAGGAAGGGGGTTAGCATGTGTGAACGGTGGGCTGGGGGTTGTCTCCTGCTCTCTGAGCCCAAGCCCCTGCTCGTTCTGTTCTCTGGCTTTTGCACGTGGTTTCCCCTCTGACAGGGTGAGGTGAGTGTGGGACCGGACGAGCAGCTTCCCCAGAGGCTGCTCTGGACCTCCCTGCAGCTGAACCCCGAGTGCTGTGGCCACTCCGACTTCCTTCCATTTCTCGTTATTCCTGCTGTGGGCCCACTGGCGTGGGGTGTTTCTGTTCTCAGTCCGATCTCCTCGGGCACACTCACCGATGTCCCTGTACCTCAGGATCTCCAAGTGCTCGGCACAGCTGCCGGCCCCAGCCCACAGACTGCGGCCGCAGGTCTGGGACCCCGGGCGGTGCCTCCTAACAAGGTCGAGGCTGCTGCTGCTGCTGCAGTGGGGGGCGGAGCAGGCTGCGCTCGGAGAACCACTTTTCCGAGGTTTTTGCCAAAATCCACTGTCCCCACCTCCCCAGGTCCTCCGTACCACCTGTAAATTACCCTCCGGACTTCCCGAGCAGCGTTGTCCCGAGGAAGTGACGGTGGCACTGAGCGAAGCGTGTCGCCCGGCTCCGGAACGGGCAGCACTGCTCCCGGGGGCCGCTCCCGGCCGCGCTCACGCTGGGGCCTGTGTTTCAGGTGGTGAGATCCGCCGAGGAAGCGGCGTCCACGCTGGCCAGCTCCATCCACCCGGAGCAGTGCATCAAAGTGCTCTGCCCCATCATCCAGACGGCCGACTACCCTATCAACCTGGCTGCCATCAAGATGCAGACCAAGGTCGTCGAGAGGATCGCCAGGGAGTCCCTGCTGCAGCTGCTGGCGGACATCATCCCGGGCCTGCTGCAGGTGGGCCTGGCTCCCTCGCTCGCTTGAAGCGGGGCACGTAGGGAAAGTCGGGAGGTGACCTGTTAGAACTGGGAGGCTGTGTGGGGTGGCTGCCTCCCGTGTTTCTCTCGGCTCCCAGTCTACCCTCCCCTGAGGGCAGCAGGAGGGGTCCTGGCAGCCCAGGACTGGGCTTCGAGAATGAGCTCTGTTTACTGTAAACGTATTTGGATCATTTTTGTTGTTGTTCATTCCTTCAACAAACCCTATTGCGCACCTGTGGGCCCCAGCCCTAGGCAAGGTGGCCATGGGGAGTCCGACAGCGGTCCTTGCTCTCACCTACCCAGCAAACAGGGGTTGAAACCCTCCTGAGCATAAGGCGTTGAGTTAGACAGGCTCTGGGGGAAAATTGTCTCCACTGCTAGGCGTCACCTCAGGGTGGGCAGCCTGGCGAGCGGAGGTGCGGGGCTGTGCTAAGCTACCCGGGGAGGTGCGAGCTGACCGCTGGGACCAGAGCAGCAGGAGGCAGGGGGCGGGGGCTCATCCGGGCGGCGGTGACCTGTGGGGTCCTGATGAGAGCTCCCTGGGGCAGGTAGGGAAGTCAGCCTCCCGCCGTGCTGCTGTTCGCTGAGCACGGGGCCTGGGATTAAAGACACGCTGCTGGGCCTGGATGACGCCAGGCAGCGGGCACAGTGGAGGGAGCCCGGGGTGTGGGTGGAGTGGGATGAGGGACGGTAGTTTGAGGTCCAGCTCTAGCGGGTGCTAACTGATGTCCCGGCACAAGGGTGAGCAGTTTTCACACGTGAAGCTTGTTTCACCGTCGGGAACAGTCCAAAGGAAGCACGTTTCTGTGCCCCTTCCCGTTTCCTGTCCCGTCCCCGGTGCTCGGGGACTGCTGAGGCAGGTCGCCGCGGCTGCCGCCGGAGAGCTCTCGGGTCAGGTGCAGGCTGAGGTATGCCTGGTTGTTGACGATTCCAAGGTTGAACTCTAAGGGCACTTGTGGAAATGTTGAAATACTGACGACGAAGCACTTCTTTGATCTCGTTTCTTTTTTGTGTTCCCCTCTGACTCTGCAGGGTTATGACAACACGGAAAGCAGTGTGCGGAAGGCCAGTGTGTTTTGCTTGGTGGCAATCTATTCCGTAATCGGAGAAGAGCTGAAACCTCACCTCGCACAGCTCACGGGGAGCAAGGTACGGGTCCTGTTACAGGCCGAGGCCCGCCTGGGCTCTGCGGCGTGTCCGCACTCGCTGTCCGCGCTCCGGCCCCCAGCGTCCCCACTGTGTGTGTGGTGGTGGGGCCCATTTCCCTGAAAGCGTTCTCCTAAAGGTGGAAGTGACCACTGGGTAGGGTCGTCACGGTGAGCCACAGCGGGGTCTGTCAGAGGGAAGGGGGCTGTTTGGAAGCAGCCTGTCTTCTCTCACAGAAACACTGGGAGGTTTGCCTGCTGGGTGAGCTGCGTGCTGGGTGGGAACTGGCTCTCGGGGCATCACAGGACTGGTGGCCACTCTCCCCACGTGCTCGCCGAACCCAGCACCATTCTCTGTCTGCACTTGGTGGTGTTGGCTCACTTACTCTGACAGCATCCCCGTGGCTAAGGACAGTGCCCGCGTTTAACTGGCGAGAGCATACAGGGATTTAACCCCAGAAGCCGGCATTGCCACGCCCTGCGCTGCCGCTCGTGTTTCTTTAAGAGTAGTTTAGAATCAGGCAGAAAATAGGAAAAAGGACTATTGGCTGGAGTGCTTATGGTTTAAAAATAAGCTCAGATCTGCTGAGCCTGCTGCGGGAGAGCAGGTAGAAACGGAGGGGGAGGCGGTGCCTTGGTGATCTCCGAGGAGAAGTCCCGACCTGCTCCGGACCAACTGGGGCGGGGCCTGGCAGCGGTGCCATACAGGAGCAGGAAGCGAGCGGCGCCTGACCTTGCTCCTGAGACAAGAAGGAAGCAGCAGGTGACGCCCTGTGCTGGTCCAGTGGGCACACAGAAGGAGTCCTGCTTTCTCAGAGCTCCCAGCAAAGCTGCCTCTGCACGCCTTCCAGAGCATGACCTGTGGGACCCTCAGCACAGCTGACACTTCAGTCCACTGTGTGTGTGTGTGTGTGTCTGTGACTGTGTCTCCGGGGATTGGTGAAGTGGGGTATGTAGTAGGTGACCTGAGGGCCCAGTGACGGACTCCCCAGTCACCTGAGCTCCGGACACGTTAGGCGCACCTCGGCGTGGCGTGCAGTCTTGTGGTTGAGCCTTGATTGCTGTTAGCGTGACTGGGAGGAATTACTCTCCAGGCCAGTTGGCTGTGGGGACCAGCTGCAACCACAGTGGGAGACACCCCTATGGAGCAGGACTCGCCTCAGTTTGGCTTCCGTGCTCACTGAGTCTGGCCCTGAGTGTGTCACTTGTGGATGTGTAGAGTTGTAATCTGCTGTGGTCAGAAGCTGTCCACTGGCTCTGGGGCCTCCTGGGGAGTGCAGAGTCAGCCACTGCCCAGGGTGACCGGCAGAAGCTAAGAGATCTGCAGGTAGCATATAGTGGAATCATGTTCTTCTGTCCACTCTGCCAATCTCAGTCCTTTGATTGGCAAGTTCAATCCATTTATATTTACAGGAGCTACTGATACAGGAGGGGTGCTTCTAGCATTTTGGTATTGGTTTTCTATATACCATAAAGCTCTCACTTCCCTCCTTTCCTGCAGTCCTGTCTTTTGTGTTTGTTTGCTTTCTGTACTGAAATATTTTAATTCCCGTTTCCTTCTGTGTCCACTCTACAGCTGTTTTCATTGTGCTTACAATGGGGATTGCATTTGACATTCTAAGGTTACAATAGTCCCATTTGAATTTACACCAGCTAATGAGCAAGCTTTCTGAGCCCTGGCTTTTTATTTTTAAAACGGGAGACCCTCGAAGGATTTTTATGAGGCTCAGATACGGTGATAAGTGGCATCGAAGTCCTTGTAGCCTGTTAAACATGGACACATCATTAACTCTTGTTGTCTTCCCTTGTACTTACAGTTGTATTCTAGACTTGACTGGGTGGATGCATTAGTGGTCTGAGTTGCTAAGAAGTATAACAGTAATTAACTCATTTTTAACTGGCCTTTCATAGAAATATCTTGTCTTCTAGATTTTTTAAAAAACTCATTCACTCCACAGCATGTGTTAGGTACATGCTTTCTTCACTGAACTAAGTTAAGGCAGGTGGGAAAAGCACAGCTCACCCTGCCCGGAGCAGCGTGCACAGCGGGGTCAGGCTGGAGCGCGGGAACCTCGGTAGCAGCCCAGGAGTGAGCGGCGTCAGTGACCGCCGTGCCACAGGCTCTGGTTCTAGGTGCTAAGCCATGGGAGCAGGAGGAAGGGGGCCAAACGGGGCTGGGCTGGGCAGGGTGGGGTGAGCTGCTTGGGAGGGAGGAAGGAGCAAACCGCAGGAAGGAACAGTGAGAGCAATCGGAGAGGGGCGTTCCGAGGACATGTTTACTGAACAAGGAGCTCAGAAGGCACCTGGGAGGTGTGACCGCTCTTCATTTTGCAGGGGGGAAGGTGAGGCTCAGGAAGTGTTTTCTGTGGTCACATGACCAGTTGGTTCTGGAATTCCGCCGCATCTGTTGAGTTTCAGGCCAGGGTTCTCTGGGTCCTGGTTGGCCCTGGAGACGTCCTCCTGAGCATTCAGATGGCGCTTTCCTCGTAGCATGACGTTATGTCAGCCATTTTAAGATCGAAAAGGTGGGGAGTGTAAGTTAACGTGAGGAGACAGCGAGGCAGGCCCGGGTGGGGGCACAGAGACCTGTGAGCTGCGGCAGCTCCAGGACACCTGCCACACTCCCTGCGGAGCGCCCACAGCACGGTCCGTCTCCGCGTGCGTGCGTCGGGGAGCACCAGCGGGCGTCTCTGTGTGTCCCACGCTGCGGTGGCCGAGAGCGGCCACGGATAGTGTGCAGAGGAGAAAGGGAGACAGGCCTGCGATGCCCAGGGCTGTGTGGCCTGGCCTCAGTTGGCTGAAGTGGGGTGCAGAGAAGGTGGGGGTGGAAGGAACAGCTGGGGTACAGACGACCTCAGTAGGACACCTCCAGGGCCTGGGCTCTGCCCTGCTTGCCGCCAGCGTGGAGGAGCGGTTGGCTGTGGGCGCCCTTGAGGTGGGCGTCCTGTCCTGCGTGTGCCTTTCCCTTGTGGGAGCCCCCTGCCTTCTGTCCTCAGGGCCTGGCCCCAGCCCTGGTGGCGTGGGATGAGGCGACACCCAGTCAGTGTCTGTGTATGACTTTCCCGGTGAAGGTGCGGGTACTCTGTTCCCATTTCCCGCCTGCTCGCCTCCTCTAACCCGGCCTCTCTCCCTGCAGATGAAGCTGCTGAACCTGTACATCAAGAGGGCGCAGACCACCAACAGCAACAGCAGCTCCTCCTCCGACGTGTCCACGCACAGCTAAGCCGCGGGGCCTCAGACCTTCCGCCCCGTCGGCCCTGCCCGGGACGAGGAGCGCAGATATTTATTACAGTCAGTATTCGGTCCCTCGCAGCTTTTGTGTAGAATCTTACTGGCACTGAATGTAAAGGAGCAAGGCCTGTTTTGCGTCTTCACACACAACTGAAGAAGCGAAAGAGCCTGCGTCTCCGCACTGAGCTGGCACCGGGGCCAGTGCGCGGCCCCCTCCAGCCACCGCGACGGCAGCTGCAGTGGGCCCGGGGCGTGGCGGTCTGTTCCCTCCCATCGTAGCGTCCTGTGGCCGGGGCCGTGACGCCACGAAAGGGTTGGTTACCTCTTTGAGTTGTATTGGAGACATGCTGAGAATGTGAATCACTTGGCGAGAAAGGAGGAAAACCGGAGATGGCCTCTGGCAGACCCAGTTGCTTCTGTACCGGGCCAGGCAGCGGCCCTGACGCCAGTGCGGCTCCTGGGAGGTCCAGGAAGCTGTTTTCAGGGGCCTCTCGGGCCCTGAGTCTGTCCCCGCCCTGCCCCCGCCCCCACCCCCGTTCTCCTGCCCCCCAGCGCTTGCTTACGCTGCTCAGTTCTCACTCAGCCTGGCGAGTGGCACCTGCACCATCTCAGTTTTCATTTCTCAGTTTAATTTGGAGTTAAGATCCAAGAAAAGTCTAGAGAGAATTACTATTTTTAATTTTATGGACTGAAGGACTTCCTTCATCTTCTGTTGAAATAGTCATTGTTTAAGGGAAAAAGTAATTATGGTGAATGACAAATGGCTGGAAACAGGATTTATAACATAATTTTAGAGTGTTTCCTTTGGTAAGAAATTCCCAGAGTAACTACCCATTTTAAAAGTTTCTTGAGAGTCTGATTGCTTCAGAGTCATTTAAGTAAAATTCTTAAAGCGAATGGAAATCCTGAACGCGAGCATGAGGGTGTCTGTCGCTGGAGTTTCAAACCACAGTGCCCTTCGCGGAGGGAGGACCCTCCCCTCCTGCTGCCTGCGGCCGCCGAGCGAGCAGAGATGTTCAGGTTCTCACTTCCGCCCTCCTCCCCTCTGACCTCCAGCTTCAGCGTAGGAAGTCAGCAAAGACTGTGGCAGACAGACGCATTTCATTCAGATTTTGTTTTAGATACTTTATTTGGAAATGGGCCCGGAGAATGAAGGTGCAGGAGAGGGAAGCCAGGTGCCTTTGCTGTGTGTGCGTGCGTGTGAGTGCGCATGTGTGTGCTGGGTGTGTGTGCAGGGTCTCTCGCGAGTGCCGTGGTTGGACGTTACTGGCTTATTTTGGCTCAGAACACAGCAGGGCCTGCTTCCATTGCTAGATGCTCCATGTTAATATTTCACTGAGGGGGTTGCCATGCTCCGCAAGGTCTCTATCGCTGCTGTTGTACAAGCGCAGCTCAGGCTGGGTTCCCTCCCTCTGACAGTGCGGCCCAGGCCCCACAGCGCCTGCCCAGGGAGGACCTGAGCGTGGCCGGTTGCCCGCATGGCGCTCACAGGCTCGCCGAGTGTCACAGGCCCGTCTTCAACCCCAGCTTAGAGAGGTGCGGTCCCCCAGGCGTCCAGCAGCCGCCACGCTCAGACCCGCATGCACCGCCTGCAGCCCCGCTTCCCCGCAGGCCTGTCCCCGTGAGAAACACAGAGCAAAGCCCAGACGCGTCTGCCTCCCGTCCGCCTGACGTCCGGGCGCTACAGCCCCTGGACACAGCGCCGGGCCAGCTCCTGCTCCCAGCCGCTGCCATCGTCAAGGTCAAAGCTGAGGCTGAGGCTGGCGAAGCTGCTCCTCAAGGACACTCCCCTCTGGGCCACGGCCACGGCCGCTCTGGCCCAGCACTCGCTTTCAACACCCGCTGCAGCTGACGCAGAGGGTTTTGTCCCATCTCTCTCTCTCCAGCCGCCCTTTATTTATCAAGCATAACACACGGCAGAGAACGGCAGTCAGGACTCTAGAACCTGCAGGACTTGGCTGGCGGTGACGTTTGGAGTGGAAAGTGCCCTGCAAACACCGGCCACCAATGTCCGTCAGTGCTGTGTGCGCACGCATGTCCTGCGCCCCCCGGTTGGGTTTCTGGTTTTCGGTTTTATTTGGGGGGGCTTTTTCACGTTACATCCATATCTGTATTTATATCTTCTTCCTTTCACTCTCCAGTGTATCATGGCAAATGTACAGACTCTTTTGTTAATAATGTAGGATTTGCTAAAAAAGAAAAAATAAAAGAACCCTTTTGAGTTTGCCCTCGAATAAGTGACGCTTGATTTCGTGTCCTGACTGGGCCCCTCTCGCCTCGCCCGGCTCTGGGTGGCGCGGCCGCTGAAACAGCGGGGCTCCGTCCTGGTCTCCTCCTCCCCCAGGAGCCGTCCCCTGCGGGCGCCGCGTGCTGGACGGCCAGGGAGACACCGGGACTGCCGGAGCGGGGCTCCCCACCACCCTCCCCTGGCCGAGGGGGAGCACGGGGTGCAGAGCCTTGGGGGCCAGGGGAGGGCTCGCAGGCTGCCGCCTGCAGGGCGTGGGCCTCAGAGGAGCGCCGGCCCCAGGCACGAAGGCGCTTCTCTGGAGTTTCACTGAAACGTCTAATACTGTGTTTCAGGGCTCGTTTCAAGTGTCGCTACCATGGCTCCGAGCCTCCCGCGTCCTACCCATCGGACGTGACCATGGTGATCAGACTCCTGGATTCAAATCCCAGCTCCCCTTCTCCCTCGGGCAGCCACGTCAGCCCTGCCTCAGCCCTCCGCTCACAATGGCCGGGAACGGCCGCGGGAAGTGCCCTGGGGTCGGGGGGTGGTGTGCGAGGCGCTGCGGAGGCCGCCTGCCCGAGTGGAGTGGGTGAGGGCATACTGGTCAGGGGTCGGGGCTGCTCGGGGTCCATGGCCGCTCCAGGGAAATGGACGTCACTCCCCGGCTTTGCACTCAGTTGCGCGGTGGGCTCAGCCTGACGTCAACTGCTCGCTCCGCGCTCCGCCTGGGCTTCACGGAGGCCGCCTCAGAGGGTGTCCTCTCCCTGGCAGCGCCCCCAGCTCAGGGCCTGCCTCCTGGCTTCTCACTTCTCAAGCCCCAAGCAGGACACTCCAGCCGTGTCACTTGCCTCCAGCCACGTTTCCTCCTGGCCCGGGTCTGCGGAGGGCCCGCCTCCAACACGTGTGTCCGGTGAAGCCACGTGCTGCTCACCTCAGCCACGGTGACGTCCAGCCGTGTGGGGTACAGCCCGGTGGTCGTGGCCTTGGTCCCGGGGACATGTTTGCCCGGGGTCTCACCCTCCGGGGCGGCCCACCTTCTCGCGATGCCGTGGCTGTGGCCTCAGTGAGCTGATGCCTGCAGGTGAGCCGATCGGAAGCGGTTCCATGTCTGTCGTCTGTCACTGTGTCTCTTCGGGAATCATCCTGTCTTCTCGGTGCTCAAATGCAAGCCTGCCGGGCACTGTCATCGACGTCATTTCTGTCCCTTGCTGCTTTCTGCCGGGAAGGTGGGGCGCCATTATATTTTGTTTTATTTTTAAATATATTTTATTGACTTTTTTTATAGAGAAGAAGAGAGAGGGATAGAGAGTTAGAAACAACGATGAAAGAGAATCATTGATCAGCTGCCTCTTGCAACACCCCCTACTGGGGATGTGCCGTAACCAAGGTACATACCCTTGACCGGAATCGAATCCCGGACCTTTCAGTCTGCAAGCCGACGCTCTATCCTAGGGGTGTCGAACTCAATCAGAGAAGGGGCCAAAATCTAAAATCCAGCCTAAATCGCGGGCCAAATGGTTTACTGAACAGTCATAAACTGTCATTGTGATGGAAACGCAGCGGAGTGCAGTGATGACAGCGCGGTGCGGGCCACATTGCAAGGCCTGGCGGGACGGATTTGGCCCGCGGGCCTTCTGTTTGACACATGTGCTCTATCCACTGAGCCAAACCGGTTTCGGCGAGCGCCGGTATATTTAAACGCCTTCCACGAGTTCCCACCCAACGGGAGAGGTCGCAGACCCGAAGCTGTCGGCATCGGATCGCTGATGGGAGGCGGGACAGGCACCTGAGGAGCCCTCAGCCGTGAGGCTCACAGGGGGCGTCGCAGGGTGTGCACAGTGAGAGGAGGAAGGAGGTGCGGCTGTGCCGTCTCCAGGCGAGGCCCGGGCCAGGGAGCACCAGCGGTACCCGGTGCGCGGCGGAGCTCGGGCCCTGCTCGCCAGCCGCTGTCTTCCGTGCTCCTCCAGCTCCCACCTTCCAACATCTTTCCTGATACCGCGGCCACGCCAGAGTCGGGGGGGGTTGTAAGGGGGGACCTTGTGAGGTAGCAGCTGCCTCCCCTCAGCCCCCTGCCCAGTGCTGCTGATGCTGGAGGCTCAGGGCCTGGAAACGTGCATTTCCAACAAGTCGGGGGGCGGGGGCGTGCAGGTGCTGTCGGCCTGGGACCGGCCTCAGAACCATTGCGGGGCCTTTCCCTGGGCCCGGCAGGGGGGTCAGGCCCTGGGCCATCCTGAGAGGAGCGCTGCAGAAACCGCTGGGCTTCGGGGGGGTCGCCAGACCATCGCTGCGTTGGGGGCGTCGGTGGTGACGGAGCATCTGGACTGGGACTGGGAGGGGAATGGGTGCCATTAGCGGAGGGCAAACGGGACCCACCTCCCTGGTACAAAGCTCCGCTTGGCCGCCTGTTTCCTCCAACACTGATTAACTCCCCTGCAGGGCTCCGGGCGAGGGTGGACAAAGGTCATGTGAATGAGCATCTAATCTTAGGTTATATGTTTAAAACACATTAAAACGTCCCACTCCAGTGCCCTCAGCCCCGGGCCTGCTGCCAGGCTGGAGCCCATGAGCCTGACTCCCTGGGCCAATTCCCGGCAGCTGGGAGAGGACCCGCCTCCCTGGGTGCCGGGGAGGAGGGCGAGGGGGGGGGGGGGGGGCAGGAAGGCCCGCCGCCCACCGCTCCGGGCACTCCGGGGCGCCAGGTGCGGGCCCGGCAGGGGAAAGGCCTGCTGGGTTTGGGATGTCTGATCCAAGTCCGAGCCTTGAGGGTCCATCCGGCTTAAGGTGACTCGGTGCCGTCTTCTGGAGCCCGGAGGGGAAGGAGCCCCGCGGGTGGAGAGAGGAGCGGTGTGCGGTGGGCAGAGCTCCTGACAGCTCGGGCCTCCACACTGTCCCTTTACAAGCCTCGCACTATCGAGGCGCCCGGGTGACAGAGCTGCTCAGTAAGGGTTTGAACAAACACACAGAAGAACGAATGCATCAGCTTCCAAACCCCGAATGACAGGACCCTCCGCGGGTGACTCAGCCAGTGGGCGGTCTGTGACGTGACTGACGTGACGGGGTTACACAATGGGAGCCCCGGGCAGCAGGGGCTGGTTAGCAGCGATCTGTGCCATTGTAGGAAGATGGCTTGGTTTCTTTTATGACTGTCAGAGGCATTTACAAGAAATAACCTGAACTGCTGCCCTCTGTGGATGAAACAGGAGGCTGGGTTTGGCTCAGTGGCTCACAGGGATTGTCTGCGCAGGGAATTCCCACGCTCACCTCCCGTGACGATGCCCCAGTCTGGGTGGTGGGCTCGGGGGTGTTTGGGTATTTTCGTGGGTCGTCACTGACACACACGTTACACAGCAGGTCTTGGGACAGCACCCTCCCCATCAGCGCTGGCTGGTAAGGTGGCTGAGATGGAGGGAACGTGTTTGTATCATCTGCTTTGCTTTACATTGTTTCAAAGCTGCAGAACCTGTTGACAATGTCAAGGGCGGGCTTACTGCGTAAGGGAGGACTTTCTTTTTGCATTATCAAATATTTCATAATTTAGCAACAAAAACGTGTGCGGTCACTAAGTTACCAGGTGATTTAGATGAGTCTCCCGTCAGTTCTTTGGTTATCATAGACACAGACCCCCACCCCTAACTTTTAAGCTTTTATAGGAAATGTGTGGAGTCCTGAGAGCACCTCTGAGGACTTTCTTTCCAGGGAAGCGAGCTCATACCGGTGTCCTGCGGGCCTGGGTGGAGGGGAGCCTCGGGCATAGCACACCAACCGTCCTTCCGTCTATCCACCTTCCTGCGCGGGCAGGAGGACCCTCCCTCGGGCCCCTGGCTGCTCCTGCTCAGTCCACGCCCCCCCCCCCCCCCCCCCCCCGGGGCTGCCCCCTAACTTCCAAATGGAGAAATGGTTCTGATGTTCGGATAGTATTGATCGGAGCCTGCTTGTTCCGCTGTGGGGTCCCTTGCCTTCTCCCGAAGGAGGAAAGGCCCGAGAGGGAGGTGCCGGGACGGCCACGCTGCACGCGGCAGGCGCCCAGGGCAGATGTTGGCAGAGGCAGGGCCGCCCCTCTCCCAGGCCTTCCACAAGCCCCACCACTGCAGCCCAGCCCTCCCCCAGCCCATCCCCTCTTCCCCAGAGCCCTGTCCCTACTCCCCCCCAGCCCAGCTCCCTGGAGCCCAGCCTCTCCCCTCCCCGCCCCCAGCCCTCCTCTCAGCCAGCTTCTGCCGAGGGGATGGATGCACTGTGCAGGATGGGAGCAACTTTTGCTGAAGACACGCTGGGGGTGACATGGTTCTTGGGGTGAGCTCAGGCAGAGGCTGTAGCCTGTCCCATGTCATGGCTACCACACAGCAGGCGAACACCCAGGCTGTCCCTTCCCTGGGAGACCGACCTCCTTTTGGCTGCTGCTCCTGGTGACGGCCCCGGTCCCAGCTCCCCTGTCAGAGCCTTCTGCGTAAACCACCTGCAGTGGCTCCCTTGCGTGTAAGCAGAACCCCGAGCAGCAGAGACGAACTACTCAGAGCATCCCCCTTGGTGCCCTGGCCGTGTGGCTCGGCGGGTTGGTCCTCACCCAGGGCGGCCAAAGGCTGCCGCTCCATTCCTAAGCAAACGCCCGGTGTGGACTCTACCCTGGTCTCCAGCCTGGTCGGGGAGGCTCCAGGCAGAGAGGAAGGATCACACAGTATTAGCAAACTGAGTCTTGTAATATCTAATGATGAAGTAGTGTTTACTCTGGGCTTGGTTTGATGTCAAAAAATCAATTAATGAAATTCATCACATGAACAGAGTATAGAGAAAAACCCCCGATCATCTTAGAAGATAAAGAAACTGCATTTGATAAAACTCAACATCCAGACACCCATTTGTGGTTGTAAACATACTTTTGAGAACTCAGAAGGAATCTTTCCTAATCTGATAACGGTTGCCTACAAAAACCTACAGCAAATGTCACACTTAATGAAGACACGCTGAAAGCTTCCCTCAGGTTTGAAACAAGGAAGGCTGTGCATTGC